CTGAGTGGCATGCAGCCGGTGAAAACCGCCCAAAGCGACCAAAGACGCAGCAGTTGGCTGGTAAGGTTATGGCGTCTGTATTTTGGGATGCGCATGGAATAATATTCATCGCTTATCTCCAGAAGAGGAAGACCATCAACAGCGACTATTATATAGTGTTATTGGAGCGTTTGAAAGACGAAATCGCAAAGAAACGGCCGCATATGGCGAAAAAAACAGTTTTGTTCCACCAAGACAATGCACCGTGTCACAAGTCGATGAAAACGATGGCAAAATTGAACGAATTGAGCTACGAATTGCTGCCGCACCCACCGTATTCTCCAGATCTGGCCCCCAGCGACTACTGGCTCTTCGCAGACCTCAAAAAGATGTTCCGTGGTAAGAGATTTGGCTCAAATGATGAAGTAATCGCCGAAACTAAGACCTATTTTGACGGCAAAGAAAAATCATTTTACAAAGGCGGTATCGAAAGATTGCAAAAGCGTTGGAATGATTGTATCTCCCTAAAAGGGGAGTATGTTGATAAATAAAAACGAATTTTGGAAAAAAAATGTGTTTTAATTAGTTAGTCACACACATTATTGAAAGATGTGTTATATATTTTTTTAAAGCAGTTAATTTTTATCTATAATTAAATTCACTTTTGTATTGATTGTATTTAGATAAATATATGCAGTTCATTTTATATAGATAAATATCTTTATATATAACCTATAAAGATTCAAATATATCAGTGTATTAAGACGTAACTGTATCTATATGTACATATGTAATATTTATTAATTTATATTAATACATAATCCTTTTTTATAAAACTATTGATTTTATAATACATTTAATTAATAATTATACTTTTATATTTCAGTAGTTTATGTTTGTTATGAATATTTACTAATATTTGATTTATTATTTAAAAATTTACACTACATATTTATCAGAACTAGAAATAAAAATTAATTATCAAAATAAATTTAAAAAACTTTGTTCAAAAACATTTTTTTTTAAAAAGAAAAAACAAAAATAATAAATTAAAAATTAGTAATAAATTAATAATAATAATAAATTAATAATCAAAAATATAAATTATGAATAGATATTTTCATTAATCTTAATTAATTAAGTCGTATTATTTACATTAGTAAGTATTTTTTTATATATGTTTTTTTATATATTTTTTTGTCAATGTTAAGTAATATGCAACTTTTTAACTTAGTTCTAAAAAATAGTTCAGTATTACCCATATTTCGACTATGATCCATAGTCATCTTCATGATACTGATATAATAAAAAAATTTTTAATAAGGTTTTTTATTAAACAAATTAAATACGAAGGACAGAGAAATATTTCAACATAACCATCAAACGGAAATTATTTTTTTTCTTTGAAATATATTTTTTATGTTAATTAAATTATTTGTTATTTATATGTTTTAACTAATTGCCAATATTAATTTTTTAAAATTAAGTTATTCCTAATTAAATCTTTTATGTTTTGATTCGGTATATAAATATTCAAAAAAGAAGCTAAAGTCTTGATTCTACATATTTACAAGGTTCTAACCTAAACTAAGTTATATATTAAATATATGTAATTGTTGTCTTTTTATTTAAATATATCTTGAAATTATCTGCCGTGTCTTGGGTGAGTTATTTAAAGAAAAACACATATATTTCTTTTATTATCCATAAAATATGTTTGTAGCTGTTTTATATGTAATGCGAAACACATTATTGGTATGTTGGTTTATTAAATTAAGTTTTTAAATAAATTTTAGTTTATGTAAGAATTCAAACATATTGGCAGTTAATATATATATATTTAAAAAAAATATATTAAACATATGAGACACACACACACACACACACACACAAAATAAGTTATATTCTATATTTATTCTTTCTTTATTTTTGTTTAAGTCAAATTTGACGAAAGCCAAAAATAGTAATTTTATCATATATACTTATCTAAAACAGTTCCTAATAAAAAATAGTTAAATTTAAAAAATAAATAAATTTTAAAATGTATTGTATACGTATTTTATATTAGATCCCAGTAGAAAACGGATCGATCCGTCATCGAAGACGTCTTCAAGACATGGATACATACATGAAGACCGATCGATCCAAATGTATGACGGTCTTTGAAGACACTTTCATACAAATTAGCCAAATGTCTTCAATGAATTTTTGCGTACATGTCTCGAAGACCGTCTCGAAGACCATGTCTTGCATAACGGACGCATTCGACAGAAAATTGTGCGCTCTTAGTGCAGTGCTCATATAATTTTTTCACCCTTTTTTTATTTCTACTCTTTTATTGCGCTCTTTAAATTTTAAATAAATTTCAATTTTCTCTTTAAATAAGTAGAAAGAAATTGTTGTATTTTGTTCTTTTATTTATTTTATATAATAATTTTTTACATTACATTCAAAATTAAAAGTTTTAGAAGTAAATTATAAATTTTATTATAAATTATTATAAATTTTATTAAGACAGTAATAATAAATTAAATTAAACATAATGAAAATAAATTTAAATAATTAACTTAATATAACTTAGCATATCTAAAATTAACTAAAACTAATATAAAATAATTTATAGCATTTCGCTATTATCAATTGTTTTCAAAAGCGTTGAAGAGGATTTTGGTACAATTAAACCTTCTGATCTTAAGAGTTCCAAAATATCATTACCACAACGCCTTTTAATCCTGTGTTTTTTAAATATAACAGCTAATTTTTCACAAGTGTTTTCAGTTTTTTTATTTTCAACATCCTTTGTTTCGTTTCTAAAACAACTTTTACTGGAATTATTGTCTTCAATATTAATATCAATATATTTTCCAGGAACTAAGTCAATATTTCATTTGTTTTGATTTAATTTCTTTTTTTTTAATATTTCATAGTTTAATGATTTTGTTTCTTTATTCATTTTGATTTTTTTAATATTTATTTCACTACACTTCAAAATTATTGCGTCACTTCATTTATACAACATAGCGTCATCTGAGGCAAAATTCAAATACGTTGCTATGAACACTAAAAATGAGAGAGAAAGCAAAGAAAGAGTATTTACATTCATGTTTTGAGCAATTGTATTGCAAATTTGCTTGAACATGCGGACGCGGTATCAAAGACCGTCTTGAAGACAATGTCTTCGAAGACCACTTTTTCTACTGGGATCTTAAAAGTATGTTTGTTTGTAGTTAGTCTATACCAAAAAGTTACAAATAAATATAATCAGTTGATTCTATATAAAACCATATCATATTTACAATTTATTTTTTTAATGTCTATCCATGTATATTATGTATATTATCGTCTTTCTATTTTATATTTTTATTATCTCTTATTTTGTCTAATTAATTATTATTGTCTTGATATTGTTATGTCTTATTTTGAGTTGCTATAATTGTATGGCAAGTAATAATTTGTATATAATAAAAACAAAAAAAATATATTATAAGCGAAATTAATGTGATCAATATTTGCATACTACGTTTTGTACTTAATTTGTGTTAAATGGTATATATAAAATTCGAAATTTCGATTGGGATTTAAATACTATGTTATTCTTTTTTACAGCTGGTAACACTTCTAACTCTTCTGAATTTGTAAAACAAGAACTCCGCGCGGTTGTTAGTGGACGTGCACAACAACAGAATGCGGCAGCGGCCGCTGCAGCTGCAGCTGCTGCGAATGCGAGTGGTGCCGGTGGTAATGGTGTGCCTGGTGGTGGCGGTAATAATGGCGGTGTTACTGGTAATGTTGTACCTGGCGGCTTACGTGCTATCACACCACAGAGCCCACTAAGTGGTATGGGACCAATGATTGGTGGTAATGCTAGCAATTGTGGTGGTAATAATGTGAATGCAAATACATTGGCTAGCTTACAACAGCAGCAAACTGGTAATAACGGTGGAGGCGGGGGAAGTTGCGGTAATGGTCCCAGTGGTGGTAATGGCGTTACCGTTGGTGGTAATGGTTGCGGTAATAATAGTAATTCACTATTACATACACCACCAGATCCAACAATGAACTTTAATTTTGACGCACGTGAGTTTTAGAAAATATAGTTTATTACACGTTATATTAACATTTAAATTATTAAATAATTGTAAAATTATTTTTTTTTTATTTTTAAATTTTTCAGAAGATTTTTTCGGAAGCAGTGCCACGAGGTGACCTTAAAATTTTATGTTCCACCCATACATATACGACGACTTCGATTACGGATATATGAGTTAAAAAAATGAGTCGTTAAAAATAGTTGTTATGTTACGTATAACGTAACGTAAAAATGTGTCTAATGTTTTACGTATAATAACGCTAACAACAACATCCAAATAGAAAAATCAATAAATATATTGTAAAGGAAAGCTATAAAAATAGAAATTGCAAACACAAGTTAAAGAAATGCAATTAAAAAAAAAATAAATAGAGAAAAAATATATATGTTAAAAATAGTGCAGAATTGTTTATATAAAATTTTTTTATTATGTTTACAATATGTAACTCAACAGGTGCAATAGTCTTATACTGTTAAAACTTATTAAAGCATTTAATACAAAATTAGTATAAATAAAAAGTATTGTATATTACTATGAATGAAAAACTTGATGACACAAAATACAATATTTTAAAAATAGTTTTGTTTATATATAAAAATATATTTTTATTTAAAATAATCAGACACAATATTTACTACACATATTCAAAATATTTTAATATAGTATGATTTGTATTAAAATTAAAAACTTTATTAGAATACACGATTTTATTAGCAAATCGATTTATATTGTTTATTAATAAGAGACTTAATTAAAAAAAACTTTCAAAATATATAAATAGAGAAGAAAATAGTAAATAAGAACGAAAAAATTAATGTTTACTTTAAAGTAGACAGAAAGGTTGGGTTTGTTAATATAAACGGGGGAAAAGATATGTATGATAATAAAAAGAGTATATAATTTGCATTTTAATACAAATGAATATAAAACGGAGTGAATTTAAGACAACATATTTGTTTTGTGCGTAGTGAAGCATTTCTTTTAAGTAATTATTGAGATTTCAATTCAAAGTTTGTTTTAAGATTTACGCTTTAATAGAAACTTACTTTATAAATGTTGACACTGAGTGTTATCAAATTATTTTCAAGAGCGAACAGCTCAATGTCCTAAATGAAAAGCCTTTTTCGCTGTTGTAATCAGTTATACTATATTCTTAGTTTTGGTTCTGTTGGGAAGAGCGAGCTTTCGATTAGAAAAAACTGGTTTTGGGACGTATACCCAGTTGTTATAGAAACCTTTCAAAATTTATTCATTAATATCTATTATTAAAAGTAACTGACCACTTCTGTTGGAACAACTTCTGTTGTGTGTGTGTGTAGAGTGTGACGAATTACAACAACATATTTTTCAACATTTTTCTGTTTTTTTGTTTCTCAACATATATTAACTTGAAATTTTATGTCTATGTATGTAAAAAGTATTTGTTCAAATTGTATATAATATAACAAAAATTTAAAAACACTTTATTTTTAACATTTACATAAATCTTTTAGATTTCCAATCGATTTTATATTAAAATTATGAATCGGTATACTGGAACTCTTATATGTTGTAAGAAGTTTAAATACAATATTTGGATTCATTTATTATGCTGACAACGTATATTAGTAAAAACCAGTGAACGAAAACAAACACTAAAGTACAAAACATAGTGTACTGTTTGTCATCTTTGTTAAAAAACACTAAACGAACAATACATTAAAAAAAGTCCGAAACAATTCAACAATTTTTAGAGTTTGTGTACTTTTCA